GGAAATAGGAAGCATAAAAGCAGGAATGGCCATGAATGGAAGTAGAATCCCAGGTGCTGTAAACCATGATAAGAACCCAGTGGAAACAAAGGTTTCATGTACAGAGTAAGGATAGCAAGAAGCTCAGAACAACATGCTTCACTTAAGAAGTGGAGTTCCGTGCCTGCTTCAGCAGCACATATACTAAAATTGGAACAATACAGAGAAGATTAGCATGGCCCCTGCGCAAGGAAGACATTTCTAAAAATATAAAAGGAAAAAAAAAGATGTGGAGTTCCACTTGCTTCTAAAAAGTCTATTCCTGTAGTTCCAATCTTGATTCAACTAACTTACAAAAATGCAGGACTTTGGTTACAAGAGTAACAGTGCAAGCCATTCCAACTCCTCTTAACGGTAAGTTAGTAGTCTTACCTCTATACCAGGAGGACAATTCCTATCCTAGGAAGCCAAATACCTACCATTATCAGCACCACAAAGGTTCACCCAACAAGTCTTAAGCAACCAAAAGCAGTTTTTAAATGTAAATCAGGTCTTAGGATCCCTTATGTAAGGTAAAGAGCACAAAATTCTAGATTGGGTTGTAGCTACCAATCATGCTCACCTTTGCTTGTTTACCTTCCATAACCGCCACACAGGAGTTGGTAGTACCCAAATCAATACCAACAACTGCTCCTTTGATTGCTTCTGATCTATAAGACATTTAAAACACCACCATAGTTATCGTTAACAATATTGTGACCAAAATTCTCAGAGAATAATATTTGATAGGAGAATGGACAGTGGCATAGGAGAATGGACACAGACGGATAACTACAGAGAGGAATGGTTAATCATGAATGTAGAGCCCACTGGTCTGGGGTTTAATATGTATCTTCTCTCAACCGAAATGAAGTTTATACTTACGCATAATCCCGCCTTGAAACAATTCTAAAAGCCTCATGACTAAGGCCATTCCAGCCATCCTGAAAAATAAAAAAAATTGCTTCAGCCATGAACTACATAGGAAAACTTAGGCTTGTTCCAATTATTACTCTGAAGAACACAAAGTTTGAGATTTTCACTCTGCTGAGTAGCTACTATGTATAAAGCATAGTAAAATAGTAAATAAGAGGAATTAAGGTACTAACAACAGCAAACATTTACTATAAATTTTCCAAATAAGAGAAGCAAACATGAAATAGCCTTGAACTACATTACAATAGGATTTCTCAACCTTGGCACTACTAATTCTGGGCCAAATCTTTGTTTTGGG